ATAGTAAACAAACATACATTTGACCAACTGGGGACATTTTGTTGGTCCCCACAAGGTCAAATGCTATTTCTAGGGGGTTTAGGGTTAAGATTAGAATTAGTGTTAGGGTTAGAATTAGGTTTATTGTTAGGGTTAGGAGTTAGGGTTAGTTTTAGGGTCAGGGTTAGGAGCTAGTGTTAGGTTTAGGGGTAAGGTTAGGTTTTCAGGTTAAAATTAGGGTTTGGTTTAGGTTTAGGGTTAGGTTTAGGGAAAATAGGATTTTGAATGGGACTGAATTGTGTGTCCCCACAAGGTTAGATGTACAATACTGTGTGTGTGTGTGTACCTGTGTGTGTGTTCGTGTGTGACTGCATACATCTTTGCCAGTGTGTGTGTGTGTGTGTTTAGTGTTCTCTCCCCAGGGTTCTACTAGGCTCCGGTGGAACATCTGTCAGTGCTGGGGTCTCCACAACAATAATACACTGCTCTCATCCTGGCAGGAGGGTGTGTGTGCTGCCAACACTTTTAGGCCCCAAGATGACGTGTGTGTGTGCATTCCTACATCTGTGCCAGTGTGTGTGTGTGTGTGTGTGTGTGTGTGTGTGTGTGTGTGTGTGTGTGTGTGTGTGTGTGTGTGTGTGTGTGTGTGTGTGTGAGAGGGAACACATAATGAAACACATGATTTCCCCCTCTGTACAGTCTGAGGGGTCTGTCCCATTGGAACAGCTTTGGTTCACTGATGTTTAGTAGGACAACGTGACACACAGTGCATCCCCAGGGTCAGCTAAGGAGATGTGTGTGTGTGTGTGTTTTGTGTTTCTGGGTGTGTATCGGTTTGTGTGTGTGTGTGTGTTAGGGCTGTGTCATTGAGGGTTTTTATAGGGCTGAGTTGGACAGTTAGGGCGGAGTACCATGTCAATGATGTCATCAATGGCTGTAGTGTTATACACGTACTGTCAGTGACAGGAGAGTGAAGGAGAGAGAAGTGGAAAGGAGAGGTGGAGAGAGTGAAGGAGAGACAAGTGGAAAGGAGAGGTGGAGAGAGTGAAGGAGAGAGCGCACACAAGAAACTATACAGACCTCGGCCTAAACATCAGCGCCACAGGTAACTTCCAAAAAGCTGTGAACGATCTGAGAGACAAGGCAAGAAGGGCCTTCTATGCCATCAAAAGGAACATAAAATTCAAAATACCAATTAGGATCTGGCTAAAAATACTTCAATCAGTTGTAGAACCCATGACCCTTTATGGTTGTGAGGTCTTGGGTCCACTCACCAACCAAGAATTCACAAAATGGGACAAACACCAAATTGAGACTCTGCATACAGAATTCCGCAAAAACATCCTCCATGTACAACGTAAAACACCAAATAATGCATGCAGAGCAGAATTTGGCCGATACCCGCTAATTATCAAAATCCAGAAAAGAGCCATTAAATTCTATAACCACCTAAAAGGAAGTGAATCCCAAACCTTCCATTAAAAAGCCATCACCTACAGAGAGATGAACTTGGAGAAGAGTCCCCTAAGCAAGCTGGTCCTGGGGCTCTGTTCACAAACACAAACAGACCCCACAGAGCCCCAGGACAGCAACACAATTAGACCCAACCAAATCACGAGAAAACAAAAAGATAATTACTTGACACATTGGAAAGAATTAACAAAAAAACAGTGCAATCTAGAATGCTATTTGGTCCTAAACAGAGAGTACACAGTGGCAGAATACCTGACCACTGTGACTGACCCAAAATTAAGGAAATCTTTGACTATGTACAGACTCAGTGAGCATAGCCTTGCTATTGAGAAAGGCCGCCGAAGGCAGACGTGGCTCTCAAGAGAAGACAGGCTATGTGCACACTGCCCACAAAATGAGGTGGAAACTGAGCTGCACTTCCTAACCTCCTGCCAAATGTATGTGTCACACCCTGATCTGTTTCACCTGTCTTGTGATTGTATCCAACACCCACCAGGTGTCTCCCATTACCTCCTGTATTTATACCTGCGTTTTCTGTTTGTCTGTTGTCAGTTCGTCTTGTCCCGTCAAGTCCTACCAGCGTGTTCCCATGTTTCCTGTGCTCTAGTTTTGGCTTTTTCTAGTCTTCCCAGTTCTGACCTTTCTGCCTGTCCTGACCCTGCCTGCCGTCCTGTACCTGCCTGACTCTGATTTGGATTACGACTATTTGCCTGCCTTGACCTACCGATTGCCTGCCCCTTGTACTGTAATAAACACTGAGACTCGTACTATCCACCTCCTGTGTCTGCATCTGGGTCTTAGCCTGAGCTGTGATAGTACGACCATATCAGAGACACACATTTCCCTCAGATTACACAGACCCACAAAGAATTAGAAAATAAATCCAATTTTGATAAACTCCCATATCTATTGGGTGAAATACTACAGTATGCAATCACAGCAGCAAGATTTGTGACCTGTTGCCACAAGAAAAGGGCAACCAGTGAAGAACAAACACCATTGTAAATACAACCTATATTTATGTTTATTTATTTCCCCATTTGTACTTTTAACTATTTGCACATTGTTACAACACTGTATATAGACATAATATGACATTTGAAATGTCTTTATTCTTTTGGAACTTTTCTGAGTGTAATGTTTACTGTTAATGTTTATTGTTTATTTCACTTTTGTTTATTATCTATTCCACTTGCTTTGGCAATGTTAACATACGTTTCCCATGCCAATAAAGCCCTTAAATTGAAATTGAAATTGAATTGAATTGAAAAGGAGAGGTGGAGAGAGTGAAGGAGATAGAAAGAGAGGTAGAGAGAGTGAAGGAGTGAAAAGGAGAGGTGGAGAGAGTGAAGGAGTGAAAAGGAGAGGTGGAGAGAGTGAAGGAGTGAAAAGGAGAGGTGGAGAGAGTGAAGGAGTGAAAAGGAGAGGTGGAGAGAGTGAAGGAGAGCAGCAGAGAGGTAGCGGTGAGAGAGAGTGAAGGAGTGAAAACGGCAGAGGTGGAGATGAGAAGGAGCAGCGTGGACGAAAGTGAAGGAGCAGGAACAGAAGTGGAGGCAGGAGGCGACGAGAGCGGAGAGGTGACGAGAGTGCAGGGAGAGAAAGGAGTAGACAGAGGAAGGAGTGAAAGGAGAGGTGGAGGAGTGACGGAGTGAAAGGAGGTGGGAGAGTGAAGGGGAGCAGAGCAGGTAGAGAGAGTGACGGAGTGAAACGGAGAGGTGGGGAGCAGGAGAGGTGGGCAAGTGAGGAGGAGGAAGAGAGGTGGGGACGTGAACGGAGAGAGGAGAGATGGAGAGAGTGTAGAAGAGAGTTGGAGAGGTGGAGAGAGTGAAGGAGAGAGGTGGAGAGTGAAGGAGAGAGAAGGACAAAATGAAGTAAATGGCTGTGTTAACACTTCAGACAGAGAGAACACTAACAGCCACTAACCTACTGCAAGCAATTAACGCACACACACACACACACATGCACACTCACACACACACATACACACTCACACTACTGCGAGAAATCAACGCAGTAAAACGTTGTTGACATGAATGTGGGTTTTCTTTCTTATAAGAGAGAAATCAACATCTTCGTGTTAGACTGATCATAACAAGTATTTTATTAAGTAGTTAACAGTTATTGGATATTAACATGCTATCATAAAAACCTGTCATCAGAAATGGGCATCAGTAACTTTATTGATCCCTTTCTTTTTGTCCATGTTCTTCTTTATCTTGTTGTGTATCAACCATATAAATCAGGGGTTGAGACGTTACCATGTGATAAGTTATTATTGATAACCTTATTATTGTCCTTTATTATTGATACATTTATAATTGATAACCTTATTATTGTCCTTTATTATTGATACATTTATAATTGATAACCTTATTATTGTCCTTTATTATTGATTCATTTATAATTGATAACCTTATTATTGTCCTTTATTATTGATTCATTTATAATTGATAACCTTATTATTGTCCTTTATTATTGATTCATTTATAATTGATAACCTTATTATTGTCCTTTATTATTGATACATTTATTATTGATAACCTTATTATTGCCCCATGCACCTCTCTGATTCAGAGGGGTTGGGTTAAATGTGGAAGACATATTTGGGTTGAATTAATTCAGTTGTCCAGGTATCCCCTTCCTCTTTACATGGAAATCAATTAAGTTGATGCTTGACTACATCCCTGGACTCACACACACACAGACACACACACACACACACACGGCTGGACTCGCCGAGTCGCCCTTGTTGACTGCTCCTGGTTGGGTCACACTAGAGTCGCATAAATTATTTAATATGGGCACATAATACTCCCACACACTGAGCACACACACACATGCTCACATCTACACACTCTGAACAGAAATGGTTCAGAGAAAGTTCCTGATAATAATCCTAACTACCAGTCTGTAAAGTCCTTTTCCAGTCAAAATACAAATATAAAATAAAGTGCATACTTGATTGTAAAGTGTGGGGGTGAGAGCGAGCCTTGGCAAATGTCATCTGAATGATTTATCAGAATTCAGTGCTACTGTAGGTAACCAACCAACCGCCAAACCGCCCCAGCATACTTGTTTATGAGACGTTTATCACTTAAATCATGAACGAATTGAACGATAAAAGTATGACGTGTTTTATTATGTCTAGTCTAGTTAGGGATTGATTGTCAGTTCAGTGATTGGATAAAAACTAGTGAGTCAGTGTCCGCGTCCCAAACGGCACCTTATACCTCCTACACCTTCCCTATGGGCTCTGGTCAAAAGTAGTGCACTATGTAGGGAATAGGGTGCTAATTTAAGACACAGGTGCAAAGCAGGGAAACATGGTTGAAGAGGAACAACAACTGAAGGCGTGCGTGTGCGTGTGCGTGTGCGTGTGTGTGTGTGTGTGTGTGAGAGAGTGAGCGAGCGAGAGAAGGAAGGGAGGGATGGAGGGATAGAGAGAGAGAAGGAAGGGAGAGATGGAGGGATAGAGAGAGAGAAGGAAGGGAGAGATGGAGGGATAGAGAGAAGGAGGGATCGAGGGACAGTGAAGGATTGAGGGAGAGATGAGAGAGAAGGGGTATAGAGGGAGAGAGAGAGTGAGGAATGGAGGGAGGAATGAAGGGGAGGGTAGACTATGTATCATCCTACGTATTAGGAGTACAGTTGAAGTCGGAAGTTTACATACACCTTAGCCAAATACATTTAAACTCAGTTTTTCACAATTCCTGACATTTAATTGTTTAACTTGGGTCAAACGTTTCGGGTAGCCTTCCACAAGCTTCCCACAATAAGTTGGGTGAATTTTGGCCCATTCCTCCTGACAGAGCTGGTGTAACTGAGTCAGGTTTGTAGGCCTCCTTGCTCGCACACGCTTTTTCAGTTCTTCCCACATACTTTCTATAGGATTGAGGTCAGGGCTTTGTGATGGCCACTCCAATACCTTGACTTTGTTGTCCTTAAACCATTTTCCCACAACTTTGGAAGTATGCTTGGGGTCATTGTCCATTTGGAAGACCCATTTGCGACCAAGCTTCAACTTCCTGACTGATGTCTTGAGATGTTGCTTCAATATATCCACATAATTGTCCTTCTTCATGATGCCATCTATTTTGTGAAGTGCACCAGTCCCTCCTGCAGGAAAGCACCCCCACAGCATGATGCTGCCACCCCGTGCTTCACGGTTGGGATGGTGTTCTTTGGCTTGCAAGCACCCCCCTTTTCCCTCCAAACTTAACGATGGTCTTTATGGCCAAACAGTTCTATTTTTTGTTTCATCAAACCAGAGGACATTTCTCCAAAAAGTATGATCTTTGTCCCCATGTGCAGTTGCAAACCGTAGTCTGGCTTTTTTATGGCGATTTTGGAGCAGTGACTTCTTCCTTGCTGAGCGGCCTTTCAGGTTATGTCGATATAGGACTTGTTTTACTGTGGATATAGATACTTTTGTACCTGTTTCCTCCAGCATCTTCACAAGGTCCTTTGCTGTTGTTCTGGGATTGATTTGCAGTTTTCGCACCAAAGTACGTTCATCTCTAGGAGACAGAACGCGTCTCCTTCCTGAGCGGTATGACGGCTGCGTGGTCCCATGGTGTTTATACTTGCATACTATTGTTTGTACAGATGAACGTGGTACCTTCAGGCGTTTGGAAATTGCTCCCAAGGATGAACCAGACTTGTGTAGGTCTACACATTTTTTTCTGAGGTCTTGGCTGATTTCTTTTGATTTTCCCATGATGTCAAGCAAAAAGGCACGGAGTTTGAAGGTAGGCCTTGAAATACATCCACAGGTACACCTCCAATTGACTCAAATGATGTCAATTAGCCTATCAGAAGCTTCTAAAGCCATGACATCATTTTCTGGAATTTTCCAAGCTGTTTAAAGGCACAGTCAACTTAGTGTATGTAAACTTCTGACCCACTGGAATTGTGATACAGTGAATTATAAGTTAAATAATTGTCACGCTCTGGCTCTGGGGACTCTTAAATGTTGAGCCAGGGTGTGTAGTTTCTATGTTGCATTTTCTATGTTCAGTTCTAGCATGTCTATTTCTATGTTGGCCGGGGTGGTTCCCAATCAGAGGCAGCTGTCGCTCGTTGTCTCTGATTGGGGACCATACTTAGGTAGCCTATTGGCACTAGTGGGTTGTGGGATCTTGTTCCGTGTAAGGTATGTTGTTTGTGTGCTACCTTGGACTTCACGTATAGTTTGTTTATTGTTTTGTCGTTGAGTGTTTATTCGTTAATAAACATGTTCGCACATAACGCTGCGCCTTGGTCCGTCTCATCCGTAAACGATCGTGACAATAATCTGTCTGTAAACAATTGTTGGAAAAATGACTTGTGTCATGCTCAAAGTAGATGTCCTAACCAACTTGCCAAAACTATAGTTTGTTAACAAGAAATGTGTGGAGTGGTTGAAAAAGTTAGTTTTAATGACTCCAACCTAAATGTATGTAAACTTCCGACTTCAACTGTATGCCACATGTTATCAGATCAACAGAGCTTAGGCTCTTTATTTGGGAAAAATAATATTTTATTTTGGAAAAAGACGAGCTCCTTTTCTTGTCTTTCCAGTTAGTGGTTGAGTTGTTTGTTATTTGTGTTCTTGGTGTTCTGCCTCTCAGCACAGAGAGACTCCCAGTAGGAGTCAAACCAGGTTAACTATAGAAAAGACAGGCCACGTTGGTCTTCCTTCTCTCTCCATATCCCCTCTCTCGCCCTTCTCTCTCCTCCTCTATCTCCCTCTACCTCTCTACCTCCCTCGATCTCTCGCTCCATCCCTCTATCATACACACACAGGGAGATAACTTGGAGAGTTCCAGGGTGTAGGCTTTTGTCCTATAGCCGGTACTAACACGACTGATACAACTGATCAACCAAGACCTGGATTAGTTGAATGAGTGTGTTAGTGCTGGGCTGGAACAAAAACCTGCCCTGCACATCCTGTAGCTCTCCAGGACCTGTAGCAGGCTGACCCCTGGTCTAAACTAGACATTTAAACAGGAGGTAATGTGTGGACAACACCACAAGAGTGCGCAGTGTCCTCTCTCTCTCAGTCTCCTCTCTCTCTCTCCTCATCTCAAACCTTAGCCAATTCACCCCCCTTTTCCTCCCTCCCTCACGTCTTCTCGCTCTCTCTCTCTCGCGCGCTCTAGTCCCTGCCAGTAGCTCCACTCCATAGACGCAGGCGGTGCTGAAACCCTCCCAGCCACCCCTGCTGTCAGCGCTTAGCCGACCGCGGCAGCTCGCAGCTTGAGCCGAGAGAGAGAGAGCGAGAGAGAGAGGGAGACGGAGAGCGAGAAAGATGGTTGGCAATCTGTGCGGTCGCAAACTGGCTCGCCGCTCCAAATCAGCGCTGATAGTAGCGCTGACAGTTCTCCTGGTTCAGACGCTGATCGTGTGGAACTTTAGTACCCTGGATACCCGGGAAGAAGGGGCCAATAGTAGCCGGGAGAAGAGGGACCAAGTCGGGGGCATCAACAAAGCCTACAGCCAGTACCCCCGGAGCGGGCTGCCAAAGAGGCATCACCAACCTCCGCTTGGGAAAGCGGCTGTTCGACACAAGCAACAACCCGTAAGAGTAGGGAGCGAATTTAAGTCTACCTATTATTTAGCAATAATAACGACGATTTTTTAAATCGATAACGACTAGCGTCATTATCATTCATTGTATATGCTACCATTCCTGATTCATTTTATAGGCTATCATCCCCCACTACGCGTGGTTTATTGTATTGTATTGTTTTGTATTGTAATGTATTGTAGGCTAAATTGTATTGTAGGGTGGGAAGGCTGTTAAGCATGGAATTGTTGTCATCAGACGAAGGAAGAAGCCAGCGTGTATTTGGATGACAAAGATGTTGCTTAGCTGTTGTTACCCATAGATGTTGATTAGCGGGTGTAAACTAACCAGTCTTTAGGAATGAGCGTGTTATAGTAGTCTAGTGTGATAATGAACCATGGGAGAAGGTTAGAGGGCGACACGGTTAATCGGATAGGTCTACTTTGATGTAGAGTTTGGTAAGGCGCTCTTACGCTGCTATAACGCCTGGCCTGTGGCTGTTTTCTAGTGACCAGCCTGGTTATTACTGTAGCTACTGTCGGGCGCAATCAGTGTGTGTGTGTGTGTGTGTGTTGGGCAGTCTCTGGTCCAGTGGTAGACTCGTGGACGGGATAATATAGACAGACAGGTTTAGTTCATTTAGAGAGAAAGAGAGAGAGAGAGAGAGAGAGAGAGAAGGCGGAATAGAGGTCTGTCTGAAAGACCGACAGACGGTATGTGCGTACGTGCGTGCCTGCGAGTGTGTGTGTTTAACAGCGCACGTGAACACTTCCTCTCTATCGTTCTCCCAGGATACTAAAGTTGTCCCAAACTACAGAGAACTGACTGTGATTTTGAGGACCATTTTTCCCCCTCCTTGTCTTCCTTCATATTTGATGACAGAGTGCATGGTTGTTAAGTGGTGTTTTATGTCCCTGTGCAGATCTAGGCTACTGTTGGAGGAGTGCGTGTGTCTGTGTGTGTGTGTGCATGTGTGTGTGTGTGTGTGTGTGTGTGCGCGTGTCTGTGTGTGTGTCTGTGCCTGTGTGTTTGTGTGTGTGTGCCTGTGTGTGTGTGTGTGTTTTGAGAGAATGATGATGCTAGAGGATTGTAGCAGTCTCCTCATCTCCTCTACCTGTCCACATGCCATTATTACATGCTGGTCCATATCTATTAGATGATGTGTTATACTGTATGGTTACTAGTCCATATGCTATGGTAGCCTATATACTGCAAGGTCGTGTGCATGTGTGTGTGGAGGTTTCTGTCTGTGTGTGTGTGTGTGAAGTGGGGTGGGGGGGGGGGGGGGGGGTCTGTGTGTGTGTGTACATGTGTGCGTGCGTGTGTTTGTGTGTGTGTGTGTGTTAAAGTGTGGTGCCTCTTGTATCCTTGATCTGTTTTTACATCCCATCATTACTCTGAACTAGATGTAACATGTCTTGTAATCTACAGAGAGAGAGAGAGAGAGAGAGAGAGAGAGAGAGAGAGGGAGAAAGAGAGAGAGAGAGAGAGAGAGAGGGGGGGGGGGGGGAGGTGGTAGAGGGAGAGAGATACTGTTGGTCCACAGTCATTGATTTTATATTGTATACCTTTGGAACCCTGTAAAATAATTTAACTTTGCCCATTTTGGACTATTTTCTACCCCCTATTGTAGAATAATAGTGCAAGGACATCCAAAACTATGAAAATACAACATATGGAATTCATGTAGTAACCAAAAAAGGTTAAACAATTTTGTATATTTTATTATTTGAGGTATTCTTCAAAAGGTTGCCACCCTTTGCCTTTGATGACATGCCTTTTGTACAGACATAGTAGTGGAACCAATCTATATGAAATAGATACTAGCTGGATTAAAGTAGTGTCAGTGATCCTCATCATATGAACTAGAACTACTACGAGGGTTAAGTAGTGTAGTGATCCTCTATATGAATAGATGACTAGCTGGATTAGTAGGATAGTTGACCCTCGATATGAATAGATATCTAGCTGGATTAAGTAGTATAGGATCCTCGATATGGAATAGATTACTATGCTGGGATTAGTAGTGTAGTGACCCTCTATATGAAAAGTATAATAGCTGGATATTAGTAGTATAGTGATCTATATGAATAGATACTAGCTGGATTAGTAGTGTAGTGATCCTCTATATGAATAGATACTAGCTGGATTGTAGTGTAGGAACCTTCATATGAATAATACTAGTGGATTAGTAGTGTAGTGACCCTCTATATGAATAGCTACTTTGCTGGATTAGTAGTGTAGTGACCTCTATTATGAATAGATACTAGCTGGATTAGAGTATAGTGATCCTTTTATATGAATAGATACTAGCTGGGATTAGTAGGTAGTGATCCTCTATATAAATAGATACTAGCTGGATTAGTAGTTGTAGTGATTTCCCCTATATGAATATATACTAGCTGGATTAGTTAGTTATGGACCCCTCTATATGAATAGATATAGCTGCATTAGTAGTGTAGTGATCTCTATATGAATAGACACTAGCTGGATTAGTAGTGTTAGGGATCCTCTATATGAATATATACTAGCTGGATTTGTAGTATAGTGACCCTCCCATATGAATAGATACTAGTGGATTAGTAGTGTAGTGAACCCTCCTATATGAATGATACTAGCTGGATTTAAAAGTGTAGTGACCTCTATAGAATAGAATTACTAGCGGATTGTAGTGTAGTGATCCTCTATATGAATAGATACTAGCTGGATTAGTATTGTGTGATCCTCTATATGATAGATACTAGCTGGAAATTTGTAGTATAGTGATCTATATGAAAATAACTAGCGGATTAAGTAGTATAGTGATCCTCTATATGGAAAAAGATACTAGCGGATTAGTAAGGTGAGTGTCCTCTTATAAATAATATAACTGGATTAGTATGGGAGGATCCTCTATATTAATAGATACTAGCTGGATTAAGGAGTATAGTGATCCTCTATATGATAGATACTAGCTGGATTAGTAGTGTAGTGACCCTCTTATGAATAGATTACTAGCTGGATTAGTAGTGTAGTGATCTATATGAATGATACTAGCTGGATTAGTAGTGTAGTGAACCTCTATATGAATAGCTACTAGCTGGATTAGTAGTGTAGTGATCCTCTATATGAATAGATACTAGCTGGATTAGTAGTGTAGTGACCCTCTATATGAATAGATACTAGCTGGATTAGTAGTGTAGTGATCTATATGAATAGATACTAGCTGGATTAGTAGTATAGGGATCCTCTATATTAATAGATACTAGCTTGATTAGTAGTATAGTGATCTATATGAATAGATACTAGCTGGATTAGTAGTGTAGTGATCCTCTATATGAATAGATACTAGCTGGATTAGTAGTGTAGTGATCCTCTGTATGAATAGATACTAGCTGGATTAGTAATAATATAATAATAATAATAATAATAATAATATGCCATTTAGCAGACGCTTTTATCCAAAGCGACTTACAGTCATGCGTGCATACATTTTTTTTGTGTATGGGTGGTCCCGGGGATCGAACCCACTACCTTGGCGTTACAAGCGCCGTGTCTACCAGTGAGCTACAGAGGACCACAGTAGTATAGTGATCCTCTATATGAATAGATAACAGCTGGATTAGTAGTGTTTGTGTCCTCTATATGAATATTTAAATAGCTGGATTTGTAGTGTAGTGATCCTCTATATGAATAGACTAGCCCGGGATTAGTAGTATAGTGATCCTCTATATAAAAGATATAGTGGATTAGTGTGTAGGATCCTCTATATGAATAGATACTAGCTGGATTAGTAGTGTAGTGATCCTCTATATGAATAGATACTAGCTGGAAATTTGTATTAGTGATCCTCTATAGAATAGATACTAGTGGATTAGTAGTATAGTGATCCCTATATGATAGATACTAGCTGGATTAGTAGTGTAGTGAACCTTATATGAAAATACTAGCTGGGATAGTAGTGTAGTGATCCTCTATATGAATAGATACTAGCTGGATTAGTAGTATATGATCCTCTATATGAATAGATACTGCTGGATTAGTAGTGTTTGTGATCCTCTATATGAATAGATACTAGCTGGATTAGTAGTGTAGTGATCCTTTATATGAATAGATACTAGCTGGATTAGTAGTATAGTGATCCTCTATATGAATAGATACTAGCTGGATTAGTAGTGTAGTGATCTATATGAATAGATACTAGCTGGATTAGTAGTGTAGTGATCCTCTATATGAATAGATACTAGCTGGATTAGTAGTATAGTGATCCTCTATATGAATAGATACTAGCTGGATTAGTAGTGTAGTGATCTATATGAATAGATACTAGCTGGATTAGTAGTGTAGTGATCCTCTATATGAATAGATACTACTGGATTAGTAGTGTAGTGATCCTCTATATGAATAGATACTAGCTGGATTAGTAGTGTAGTGATCCTCTATATGAATAGATACTAGCTGGATTAGTAGTGTAGTGATCCTCTATATGAATAGATACTAGCTGGATTAGTAGTGTAGTGATCCTCTATATGAATAGATACTAGCTGGATTAGTAGTGTAGTGATCCTCTATATGAATAGATACTAGCTGGATTAGTAGTATAGTGATCCTCTATATAAATAGATACTAGCTGGATTAGTAGTGTAGTGATCCTCTATATGAATATATACTAGCTGGATTAGTAGTGTAGTGAACCTCTATATGAGCCATGATACAATTCCAACCAAGTTGGTTAACCCTATTGGTGCAGCCTTTCAAGCCGGAGGCCCGGGTTTGCTTCCTGCTCCCTCTGTTCACTACCATTATCTAAATAACCAGCACCCCTCTGTTCACTACCATTATCTAAATAACCAGCACCCCTCTGTTCACTACCAGTATCCAAATAACCAGCACCCCTCTGTTCACTACCATTATCTAAATAACCAGCACCCCTCTGTTCACTACCATTATCTAAATAACCAGCACCCCTCTGTTCACTACCAGTATCCAAATAACCAGCACCCCTCTGTTCACTACCAGTATCTAAATAACCAGCACCCACTCACCCATTATCAATGATTTTCTTCTATTTGTGTTCTCGTATTGAGGTTCAAATCATGTAGATAGCCTGCGTTGCTGAGTGGTGGGGGTGTTACCCAGCAGAGCAGTGTGTGTGTGTCTCATTACCTGGTTCCGTCAAAGCTGCCACTGTAACACAGGGAAAATAAATACCTCGACCACAGTTTACCTACATACCTGGCTACAATGTCTCTCCAGTTTACCGACATACCTGGCTATAATGTCTCCACAGTTTACCTACATACCTGGCTATAATGTCTCCACAGTTTACCTACATACCTGGCTATAATGTCTCCACAGTAGCTACTACATGCCAGGAATACAGTGGGCACATACACAGTCACACACACACACAGTCACACACACACACACAGTCACACACACACACACAGTCACACACACACACACACACAGTCACACACACAATGCCACCTCTGTTTGTGTGTGTGTATGTGTGTATGTGTTCCCTCCCAGCATAGGAAGGTATGGTGACCGCGAGGCAGAGCAGTTGTTTACGTTAGTCCGAGCTGATGGGGCCTTAACACAACTCTGGCATTCATTCACTGCTGCCTCTGACAAACACACAGTCACACATGGGATTATCACATGATCAACGCTGGATTAGATTACAAATCATATTACACATCAGTTCCAATCGCATAGTCTGATATCACTAACCTGTGTGTGTCTTAGTGTGTGTGTGTGTGTGTGTGCGTGTGTGTGTGTGTGTGTGTGTGTGTGCTATGAATGCATATATGTGTGTGGGTGTTTGTGTGTGTGTGTGTGTGTGTGTGTGTGTGTGTGTGTGTGTGTGCTATGAATGCATATCTGTGTGTGGGTGTTTGTGTGTGTGTGTGTGTTTGTGTGTGTGTGTGTGTGTGTGTGTGTGTGGTGTGTGTGTGTGTGTGTGTGTGTTATGAATGCATATCTGTGTGTGTGTGTGTGTGTGTGTGTGTGTGTGTGTGTTTGTGTGTGTGTGTGTGTGTGTGTGTGCTATGAATGCATATCTGTGTGTGGGTGTTTGTGTGTGTGTGTGTGTGTGTGTGTGTGTGTGTGTGTGTGTGTTATTTGTCCCATACTATCAAGCTATTTCCTGTAGTGTATAGTTTTTGGCGCCCACAGCTGCTTATTCCAACCCTTATTCCAACACACACACACACACACACACACACACACACACACATACACACAGACAAATTTGAAAAAAATCTATTTTGGTTATTGAACTACAGTAAGTGAAGTGGATTTACACCCGGTAACAGACTTGCGGTAACAGAATTTCATCATGGGTCCCTGATCTGTACTACTCAGAAATGCATAATTATGGATATAAATGTAATTCTCTTCATGGTGATGCGTCCTAAATAGATATATATATATAATATAAATGGGTACACAAAGGTAGAAATATGCAAAATCCTGATTTGCATATTTGGGTATTATTCTTCACACTGGCTATTATTTTAATGAGCTCCGCCCCCAAACAAGAACACATTTGGTTGGTCTGGCCCGGACCAAATCTGAACCAATCAGAGACGTCTGTAGAGTACGGTAGAGTATAGTTCAGTACATTATAGTTTACTCAACTCTAGTGTGCTCTACTGTATACTGTACTATACTCTATTCTACTGTACTATACTCTATTCTACTGTACTGAACTATACTCTACTGTACTGAACTATGCCCTACTTTTACTGTACAAATGGGCGACAAGTAGCCTAGCGTTTAGAGCGTTGGGCCAGTAACCCAAAGGTCGCTGGTTCGAATACCTGAGCCGACAAGGTGAAAAATCTGTCGATGTGCCCTTGAGCAAGGCACTTAACCCTAATTTGATCCAGAGGCGCCGTACTACTATGGCTGACCCTGTAAAACAACACATTACACTGCACCTATCATACTACTATGGCTGACCCTGTAGAACAACACATTACACTGCACCTATCATACTACTATGGCTGACCCTGTAGAACAACACATTACACTGCACCTATCATACTACTATGGCTGACCCTGTAAAACAACACATTACACTGGACCTATCATACAACTATGGCTGACCCTGTAAAACAACACATTACACTGCACCTATCATACTACTATGGCTGACCCTGTAGAACAACACATTACACTGGACCTATCATACTACTATGGCTGACCCTGTAGAACAACACATTACACTGCACCTATCATACTACTATGGCTGACCCTGTAAAACAACACATTACACTGCACCTATCATACTACTATGACTGACCCTGTAAAACAACACATTACACTGCAAATATCATACTACTATGGCTGACCCTGTAAAACAACACATTACACTGCACCTATCATACTACTATGGCTGACCCTGTAAAACAACACATTACACTGCAACTATCCAGTGGATGTGACAAGAAAACATCTTATTTTGTTATTTTTTTACTCTGTGATGTCCAAACTTGTGAAACAGACGTCTGAACTGGACCAAATCTGAACTAATCATCATGGACATCTATGTTTGGGCCAAATGAAGGTCGGTCCAGACGTCTGTGGACGTTGAAATCAAGGCCAGGGCGGACTTTTCAACGTCCATGGACGTGCTCAGTGGGTGAGGATGCTGGTTACAGTAAATGGAAAGAGAGTGGGCTCATGGGTAGGTGTCAGTAAGAGGGATTGGAGAGAAATTACTTGGAGAGAGAGAGAGAGAGAGAGAGAGAGAGAGAGAGAGAGAAGGCCTGTGGTGTTGATGGTATCCTCAATGAAATGATAAAATATACAGACCACAAATTCCAATTGGCTATACTTAAACTCTTTAACATCATCCTTAGCTCTGGCATCTTCCCCAATATTTGGAACCAAGGACTGATCACCCCAATCCACAAAAGTGGAGACAAATTTGTCCCCAAAAACTACCGTGGGATATGCATCAACAGCAGCCTTGGGAAAATCCACTGCATTATCATTAACAGCAGACTAGTTCATTTCCTTAGTGAAAACAATGTACTGAGCAAATGTCAAATTGGCTTTTTACCAAATTACCGTATGACAGACCACGTATTCACCCTGCACACCCTAATTGACAAACAAACAAACCAAAACAAAAATTTATTTTTATTTTGTCATTTAGCAGACGCTCTTATCCAGAGCGATTTACAGTTAGTGAGTGCATACATTTTTCATGCTGGCCTCCCGTGGGAAACGAACCCACAACCCTGGCGTTGCAAGCGCCATGCTCTACCAACTGAGCTACAGGGGACCCCTGTATATGCACAGAAACACTTCCCCATAGGTTGATGTAGAAGTCAAACACAAAGCTCATGGAACGTACACAGATTACAGAAAGCTCACACACAAATAACACTACATACAGTTCTCAGTATTGTGCACTGAAGTAGCATACGGTATTGAAACACACATACTTTGTTGATTTAAAAAAACGTTTGACTCAATTTGGCATGAAGGGTCTGCTATACAAATTGATGGAAAGTGGTGTTGGGGAAAAACATACAACATTATAAAATCCATATACACAAACAACAAGTGTGCGGTTAAAATTGGCAAAAAAACACACACATTTCTTTCCACAGGCCCGTGGGGTGAGACAGGGATGCAGTTTAAGCCCCACCCTCTTCAACATATTTATCAATGAATTGGCGAGGGCACTAGAACAGTCTGCAGCACCCGGCCTCACCCTACTAGAATCTGAAGTCAAATGTCTACTGTTTGCTGATGATCTGGTGCTTCTGTCCCCAACCAAGGAGGGCCTACAGCAGCACCTAGATCTTCTGCACAGATTCTGTCAGACCTGGGCCCTGACAGTAAATCTCAGTAAGACAAATATAATGGTGTTCCAAAAAAGGTCCAGTTGCCAGGACCACAAATACAAATTCCATCTAGACACCGTTGTCCTAGAGCACACAATTGCCGTTTTTTCTGAAATTCTGCTACCGATTCGAGTTTTAATCACTTAATAATTCATAAACAAAATTGATATCAGTAAAAACACTAATTGATAGGTCGACCTTTACTGGTTACTTCTGTGAACTTTCATTATCTTCCCTCCTCATGAGGGAGAGAAATTAGAAAATATCTTAAAGATATGTGGGTTTTTGGTAACGGAATGTCAAGGCACAAAGCAATGTTTCTTAAAAGGCACAAGGCAATGTTTCTTAAAAGGCACAAGGCAATGTTTCTTAAACTTACAGTAGGCAGAAACAATTACCCCAAACGAAATATGTGTTGATATTAGTTGGCAGGGGTCTTCAACATTATTGTGTTTCTAATACCTTTTAAGACTTTTTCTGGTAGATGTTGTCTAAGACCTTTTTTCCATCTGTTTGACAAGAAATCAAAGCCTTTGCTTATTCAACAAATATTTGGATGGAAAATGGTTGAAAAATGTATATATGCCTTAATTTCCCCGAAATATAGACTCTTAGCTTTTATTTGACACCCAATTTGTAGTGTTGAGTGATTAACCGAAATGTTGGTTATTTTTTGGTTTTTAAACAACTAATTGAGCTACGACAGTTCAATTATTTGAATTCCATTTCATTCTTTTTTTTTTCTTCTGTGAGCTCAATGACACATCGTTGCACTAGAGATAAATCAGATCCAGCCTGAACTGTGCGATATAGTAGGGAGTTGTAGTTTCTCTAGAGATAAATCAGATCCAGCCTGAACTGTGTGATGTAGTAGGGAGTTGTAGTTTCTCTAGAGATAAATCAGATCCAGCCTGAACTGTGTGATATAGTAGGGAGTTGTAGTTTCTCTACAGATAAATCAGATCCAGCCTGAACTGTGTGATGTAGTAGGGAGTTGTAGTTTCTCTAGAGATAAATCAGATCCAGCCTGAACTGTGCAATATAGTAGGGAGTTGTAGTTTCTCTAGAGATAAATCAGATCCAGCCTGAACTGTGTGATGTAGTAGGGAGTTGTAGTTTCTCTAGAGATAAATCAGATCCAGCCTGAACTGTGCAATATATAGGACATAGACAGCAGTCGGGAGAGGACGTGTTTTTCTCTAGCTCTCTAGCTCTCTAGCTGGAGGTAAGCAAACTTCTCATTTGGTGTTGAGTATAGCTTAACCATGCATTAGATCGTAGGTTGGTAGTTAGTTGTAGTTAGGTATTGTATTTATTATAGGTTAGTATTGTTGTTGTTGTATGTTTCCGTAGGTTATTGTAGGTTAGTATCGAAGCACGAGGCTAGCTAGCTAGCGGGTAGCTACTGGTAACGATTAGCTGTCCCACTGTTAAATGTGCTTCTAGCCAACGTTTAATTTTTGCTGCGTTCTGCGTTATGTAAGGAACTAGACACGGACATGAATCATCTGTTTAGTGTGCTAACACACTCTTGGCAGTTTGTTGTAACCAAGTATTGGTGCTAATTGTGTGTTAATGGATGCTAGCTTGCTAGTCAGCTACGGCGTCATAGCTAGGTATCGTGGGTTATTGTAGGTTTCCGTAGGTTATTGTAGGCTAGTATTGAAGCTCGAGGCTAGCTAGCTCTCTAGCTGGAGGTAAGCAAACTTCTCATTTGGTGTTGAGTATAGCTTAACCATGCATTAGATCGTAGGTTGGTAGTTAGTGTAGTTAGGTATTGTATTTATTATAGGTTAGTATTGTTGTTGTTGTAGGTTTCCGTAGGTTATTGTAGGTTAGTATCGAAGCACGAGGCTAGCTAGCTAGCGGGTAGCTACTGGTAACGATTAGCTGTCCCACTGTTAAATGTGCTTCTAGCCAACGTTTAATTTTTGCTGCGTTCTGCGTTATGTAAGGAACTAGACACGGACATGAATCATCTGTTTAGTGTGCTAACACACTCTTGGCAGTTTGTTGTAACCAAGTATTGGTGCTAATTGTGTGTTAATGGATGCTAGCTTGCTAGTCAGCTACGGCGTCATAGCTAGGTATCGTGGGTAGCTACTGTGTCTTGGCAGTGTCTTCCGCCGTGCCGGCTGTAGCACGAAGCGAGCTAATTAGCCGTTTTTTCGAACAGAGTCAGAGTCAACACAGTAGCCATTGTGTGCCGGGTGTAGCACGAAGCTAGCTAGCTAGCCGTTCTTAAAACAAAGCCAACACAGTGGCCATTGCTAGCTACCCAGCACGACCTAGCTACCCAGCACGACCAGCGAACGGTACGGTAGCAGCTAATTACAATATACTTGTCCTAGCTAGCCAATGTTGAATCATTGCTGCGTCATGAAAGGAACTTGACACAGACACGAATGATCTGTTTAGTGTGTTATCACACTATTGGTGGTTTGCTGTGACCAAGTGTTTGTGCTTGGCTGTGTGTTACTGGATGCTGGCATGCTGGTTAGCTAGTTAACACACTATTGGTGGTTTGTTGTGAGTATTTGTGCTTAACTGTGTGTTAAACTGTGTGTTATTGGATGCTAGCATGCTAGTCAGCTATGGTGTCATAGTTGGCTAGCTGAATAAAGTGGGTTTGAGTTTATTCCTTTAAACATTGAACAACTGTTCAGTGAAACAATTTTAGTTTCTGAGGTAGAAGTTTTTGGTGAGGGAGGCCCCCCTCTCTCCTCTCCCAGATGCTTAGCTCATTTCATTCCGATCTCCTCTGCATTTTTGTAGCCATTTGCTACAGCCTGTCAACTATGCCTCTGCCTATCCCTGTTCTCTCGTCTCTGCACAGGCTACACAAACAACGCACAACATCGCGCGGCTGCTGCCTCTCCAACCTGGTGGTCCCTGCTCGCACCCCTCACCTGGAGTTCCAGGTCGCAGGCAGCCTCTGGAACTGCCGTTCTGCTGCCAACAAAGCTGACTTCATCCCAGCCTATGCCAACCTCCAGTCCCTCGACTTCCTGGCGCTGACGGAAACATGGATCACCACTGAAAACACGGCTACTCCTACTGCTCTCTCCTCGTCTGACCATGTGTTCTCGCATACCCCGAGAGCATCTGGTCAGAGGGGTGGTGGTACAGGAATCCTCATCTCTCCCAAGTGGACATTCTCAATTTTTCCCCTAACCCATCTGTCTATCTCCTCATTTGAATTCCATGCTGTCACAGTCACTAACCCATTTAAGCTTAATATCCTTGTCATCTATCGCCCTCCAGGTTCCCTTGGAGAGTTCATCAACGAGCTTGACGCCTTGATAAGTTCCTTTCCTGAGGATGGCTCACCCCTCACAGTTTTGGGGGATTTCAACCTCCCTATGTCCACGTTTGACTCATTTCTCTCTGCCTCCTTCTTTCCACTCCTCTCCTCTTTTGACCTCACCCTCTCACCGTCCCCCCCTACTCACAAGGCAGGCAATACGCTTGACCTCATCTTCACTAGATGCTGCTCCTCTACTAATCTCACTGCAACTCCCCTCCAAGTCTCCGACCACTACTTTGTTTCCTTTTCTCTCTCGCTCTCCTCCCACACTACTCACTCTGCCCCTACACAGATGGTAATGCGCCGCCGCAACCTTCGCTCTCTCTCTCCCACTACTCTCTCCTCTTCCATCCTATCATCTCTTCCCTCTGCTCAATCCTTCTCCCTCCAATCTCCTGATTCTGCCTCCTCAACCCTCCTCTCCTCCCTTTCTGCATCCTTTGACTCTCTGTGTCCCCTATCCTCCCGGCCGGCTCGGTCCTCCCCCCCAGCTCCGTGGCTTGATGACTCACTGCGAGCTCACAGAACAGAGCTCCGGGCAGCGGAGCGGAAATGGAAGAAAACTAAACTCCCTACCGACCTGGCATCTTTTCACTCCCTCCTCTCTACATTTTCTTCATCTGTTTCTGCTGCTAAGGCCACCTTCTACCACTCTAAATTCCAAGCATCTGCCTCTAACCCTAGGAAGCTCTTTGCCACATTTTCCTCCCTCCTGAATCCTCCTCCCCCCCCCCCCCCCCACCTCCTCTCTCTCTGTGGATGACTTCGTCAACCACTTTGAAAAGAAGGTTGACGACATCCGATCCTCGTTTGTTAAGTCTAATAACACTGCTGGTCCTGCTCACACTGCCCTACCCTATGCTTTGACTTCTTTCTCCCCTCTCTCTCCAGATAAAATCCTGCGACTTGTGACTGCAGGCCGCCCAACAACCTGCCCGCTTGACCCCATCCCCTCCTCCCTTCTCCAGACCATCTCCGGTGACCTTCTCCCCTACCTCACCTCGCTGATCAACTCATCCTTGACCGCTGGCCATGTCCCTTCCGTCTTCAAGAGAGCGAGAGTTGCTCCCCTCCTCAAAAAACCAACACTCGACCCCACTGATGTCAACAACTACAGACCAGTATCCCTTCTTTCTTTTCTTTCCAAAACTATTGAGCGTGCCGTCTTTAGCCAACTCTCTTGCTATCTCTCTCAGAATGACCTTCTTGATCCAAACCAATCAGGTTTCAGGACTGGTCATTCAACTGAGACTGCTCTTCTCTGTGTCACGGAGACTCTCCGCACTGCTAAAGCTAACTCTCTCTCCTCTGCTCTTGTCCTTCTAGACCTGTCTGCTGCCTTTGATACTGTGAACCATCAGATCCTCCTCTCCACCCTCTCCGAGATGGGCATCTCCGGCGCGGCTCACTCCTGGATTGCGTCCTACCTGACCGGTCGCTCCTACCAAGTGGCGTGGCGGGAAGCTGTCTCCGCACCACGTGCTCTCACCACTGGTGTCCCCCAGGGATCGGTTCTGGGCCCTCTCCTTTTCTCCCTATACACCAAGTCACTTGGCTCTGTCATATCCTCACATGGTCTCTCCTATCATTGCTACGCTGACGATACACAACTAATCTTCTCCTTTCCCCCTTCTGATAACCAGGTGGCGAATCGCATCTCTGCATGTCTGGCAGACATATCAGTATGGATGACGGATCACCACCTCAAGCTGAACCCTGGCAAGACGGAGCTGCTCTTCCTCCCGGGGAAGGACTGCCCGTTCCATGATCTCGCCATCACGGTTGACAACTCCGCTGTGTCCTCCTCCCAGAGTGCGAAGAGCCTAGGCGTGACCCTGGACAACACCCTGTCGTTCTCCGCCAACATCAAGGCGGTGACCCGCTCCTGCAGGTTCATGCTCTACAACATTCGGAGAGTGCGACCCTGCCTTACACAGGAAGCGGCGCAGGTCCTGGTCCAGGCACTTGTCATCTCCCGTCTGGACTACTGCAACTCGCTGTTGGCTGGGCTCCCTGCCTGTGCCATTAAACCCCTACAACTCATCCAGAATGCCGCAGCCCGTCTGGTGTTCAACCTTCCCAAGTTCTCTCACGTCACCCCCCTCCTCCGCACACTCCACTGGCTTCCAGTTGAAGCTCGCATCCGCTACAAGACCATGGTGCTTGCCTATGGAGCAGTGAGGGGAACGGCACCTCTGTACCTTCAGGCTCTGATCAGTCCCTACACCCAAACGAGGACATTGCGTTCATCCACCTCTGGCCTGCTGGCTCCCCTTCCTCTGCGGAAGCACAGCTCCCGCTCAGCCCAGTCAAAACTGTTCGCTGCTCTGGCACCCCAATGGTGGAACAAGCTCCCTCACGACGCCAGGACAGCGGAGTCACTCACCACCTTCCGGAGACATTTGAAACCCCACCTCTTTAAGGAATACCTGGGATAGGATAAAGTATTCCTTCTAACCCCCCCCCCCCCCCCCCCCCCCCCCCCCCCCCCCCCCCCCCCCCCCCCCCCCCCCCCCCCCCCCCCCAAATTGTAAAGTGGTTATCCCACTGGCTATAGGGTGAACGCACCAGTTTGTGAGTCGCTCTGGCTAAGAGCGTCTGCTAAATGACGTTAATGTGCCCTTGAGCAAGGCACTTAACCCTAATTGCTCCTGTAAGTCGCTCTGGTTAAGAGCGTCTGCTAAATGACTAAAATGTAAATGTAAATGTAAGTTGTAGTTTCTCTGGAGATAAATCAGATCCAGCCTGAACTGAATTGAGGTAATATGTACATGTGGGTAGAGTTAAAGTGACTATGCATAAATAATAAACAGAGTAGCAGCAGCGTAAAAGAGGAGGGGTGGGTGTGGGGGGGCAGTGCATATAGTCCGGGTAGCCATGATTAGCTGTTCAGGAGCCTTATGGCTTGGGGGTAGAAGCTGTTGAGAAGCCTTTTGGACCTAGACTTGGCACTCCGGCACCGCTTGCCGTGCGGTAGCAGAGAGAACAGTCTATGACTAGGGTTGCTGGAGTCTTTGACAATTTTGAGGGCCTTCCTCTGACATCGCCTGGTATAGAGGTCCTGGATGGCAGGAAGCTTGGCCCCAGTGATGTACTGGGCCGTACGCACTACCCTCTGTAGTGCCTTGCGGTCGGAGGCCGAGCAGTTGCCATACCAGGCGGTGATGCAACCAGTCAGGATGCTCTCGATGGTGCAGCTGTAGAACTTTTTGAGGATCTGAGGACCATGCCAAATCTTTTCAGTCTCCTGAGGGGGAATAGGCTTTGTCGTGCCCTCTTCACGACTGTCTTGGTGTGTTTGGACCATGATAGTTAGTTGGTGATGTGCACACCAAGGAATTTGAAGCTCTCAACCTGAACCGTCAATGAGAATGGGGGCGTGCTCAGTCCTCTTTTTTTTCCTGTAGTCCACAATCATCTCCTTTGTCTTGATCATGTTGAGGAAGAGGTTGTTATCCTGGCATCACACGGCCAGGTCTCGGACCTCCTCCCTATAGGCTGTCTCATCGTTGTCGGTGATCAGGCCTACCACTGTTGTGTCGTCAGCAAACGTAATGATGGTGTTGGAGTCGTGCCTGGCCATGCAGTCATGGGTGAACAGGGAGTACAGAAGGGGACTGAGCACGCACCCCTGAGGGGCCCCCGTGTTGAGGATCAGCGTGGCAGATGTGTTGTTACCTGCCCTTACCACCTGGGGGCGGCCCGTCAGGAAGTCCAGGATCCAGTTGCAGAGGGAAGTGTTTAGTCCCAGGATCCTTAGCTTAGTGATGAGCTTTGAAGGCACTATGGTGTTGAACGCTGAGCTGTAGTCAATGAACAGCATTCTCACGTAGGTGTTCCTCTTGTCCAGGTGGGAAAGGGCAGTGTGGAGTGCAATAGAGATTGCATCATCTGTGGATCTGTTGGGGCGGTATGCAAATTGAGTGGGTCTAGGGTTTCTGGGATAATGGTGTTGATGTGAGCCATGACCAACCTTTCAAAGCACTTCATGGCTACAGACGTGAGTGCTACGGGTCGGTAGTCATTTAGGCAGGTTATCTTAGTGTCCTTGGGCACAGGGACTATGGTGGTGTGCTTGAAACATGTTGGTATTACAGACTCAGTCAGGGACATGTTGAAAATGTCAGTGAAGACACTTGCCAGTTGGTCAGCACATGCTCGGAGTACACGTCCTGGTAATCCGTCTGGGCCCGCGGCCCACCAGGTTTTCATAATGCCCCGTGGCTGTCTTCCATTTGTCCCCTTCCTTGACATGCACCAGGTTGTATGCACTCCTGAGATCTAATTTCGTGAAGAAGCGCACCCCATGCATTGATTCGATCACAGAGGAAATGAGGGGTAGAGGATAACTATAGCGAATTGTAATTGTATTAAGTGCACGGTAATCAATGCAAGGGTGCAGACCCCCTTTCTGTCACGCCCTGGCTCTGGGGACTCTTAAATGTTGAGCCAGGGTGTGGATTTTCTATGTTTAGTTTTCTATGTTTTTTGTTCTAGATCGTTTAGTTCTATGTTGGCTAGGGTGGTTCCCAATCAGAGGCAGCTGTAGCTCGTTGTCTCTGATTGGGGACCATACTTAGGCAGCCTGTTGGCACCAGTTAGTTTGTGGGATCTTGTTCCGTTAAGGTTTGTTTTGTTAACCTAGGACTTCACGTTATCGTTTGTTTGTTGTTTTGTGTCGTGAGTTTAGTACGTAATAAAATGTACGCTTATCACGCTGCGCCTTGGTTCCACGAGTCATCAGTCAACGTTCGTGACACTGTCTTTCTTCTTCACGAAAAATAAACTTGAGGAGGCGGGTGAAGTGGAGGGACGTATGAACCCCTGACTTAGGGACTCGGAGACGTATGATTCCATAGCCTCCGTTTCAGCCTGCGACAGGGGATATACATGACTCCTGGGCGGCACAGCGTCTAACCGGAGGTTTATGGCACAATCCCCCCAGCGATGGGGTGGTAATTTGGTCGCCTGCGTTTTGGAAAAGGCATGCGCCAAATCGAGGTATTCGGGGGGAATGCGCATTGTCTGGACTTTCCACCGTGGTCGCACCAACGGAAACAGCTAGACACCTACCCTGACACTCTCGCGACCACCCCGTGAGAGCCCTCTGCGGCCATGAAAAGGTGGGGTCGTGTAGTGCTAGCCAGGGAAGGCCCAACACAACAGGGAAATCAAGGGACTCAATAATATGAAACGTGATTTGCTCGTTATGGGTCTCCTGCGTAATCATAGTGACTGGTGCGGTAACCTCCCTAACAAAACCTGACCCTAATGGTTGATTGTCAAGTGCTTTGATGGGCAATGGAATAGACAGGGGAACCAATGTAATACGTAGACTAGAGCTAAAGACCTGTCCATAAAGTTCCCAGCTGCGCCTGAATCTACCAGCGCCTTACATTGGGGAACTACCGTGTAATCAGGGAAGTTGACGTGGATGGTTAAATGCGCAGCACAGGGCTCTGAACGAGTGTGGGTTTGTGCTACCTGGGGTGACGCGAGAGTGCCCTGCCTGCCGCCTCCAGAACCAGAAGAACTCTGACGACATCATGCAGCAGAATGTCCTCTTCTGCCACAAGAGTGACACTGGATCTGTCGTCCTCCATTCTCCCGGAACGCTGCACCACCCAGCTCCATTGGAACGTGAGCCGGGGTGAGGGGCGGTGAAACGGGAAGGCCCCATCCAGGATGTCCTCTCGAAGCCAGCATGTTGTCCAACCGGATGGCCATGTCCACCAGTTGGTCGAAGGTCAGAGTGGTATCCCGGCAGGCTTGCTCCCTTCGGATGTCCTCACGCAGGCTGCATCGAAAATGGTCGATGAGGGACCGCTCGTTCCACCCAGACCCAGCCGCTAGGGTTCTAAACTCCAGGGAAAAGTATTGCGCAGTCCTCGTCCCCTGCCTCAGATGGAACAGACGCTTGCCCGCCTCTCTTCCTTTGGGGGGATGATCAAAGACTGCACGGAAGAGGCAAGCAAACTCTCTGTAGCTGTCCAACACGTCTCCTCCTTCACTCCAGACAGCGTTGGCCACTCCAGGGATTTCCCAGAGAGGCAGGAGACGAGGGTGGACACCTTCTCCCGATCCGAATTTGAATATTTAAACAATGTTACAAATGTCAGAGCGATAGACAGCAAGGTTTATAGAAATCTCCGCTGTTGAAACGAAAAGTTACTCTAAAAGAAATGTGAGATCAAGTTTATAAATTGCTTGGCTGGGCTGATGAGACAGTGAATTGCGCAGTCAGATGGAACAGAGTAAATAGGCATTTTAACTTAATAGATTTAGCCGGTGGTAACTTGTGAAATAGACACCAGCTGGAATGCGGTTTTAACCAATCAGCTGTATCCAGGCACTCCACGTTGCGTCAGCGATATACCACACCTCCTCTGGCCTTATTGCTTAATGATAATGCTTATTTGGATGTCAACCCCAATACATGTTCATGTCATCGTCACCGATCAACTGCATTACATTTCAAAACGACTTTGACTACCACCGCCGATTTCTGTATGCTAGCTATGCTACCAGCTTATACGAATGGCAGTTAGCATTTAGCAGTCACTTCTTCTAAACCTGAAAAGGGACAACTTCTAAATGTTATGCAGCGAAAAACAGCCAAATATATATATCCAAATCAGACTTTGTTAACCACATTGTGGGCCTGTTTCAATACATAAATCAGGACGGACTTCAGGTGACTAGTCATCACCTTTGTGCACAAAACATCCATATAATTTTTTTACGTCACTCACAGCCGAAGATATTAACATTTTAGATTCATCCAATATCTGCCATGTTTTTGGACGACGTGCGCACTAGCACTCCCTGAGAGAGAGAGAGAGAGAGAGAGAGAGAGAGAGAGAGAGAGAGAGGAGGAGAGGAGAGAAGGTCGGACATCTGGACGAGAGGAGGAGAGGAGAGAGCGAGAGAGAGAGAGAGAGAGAGAGAGAGAGAGAAGGAGAGAGAGAGGAGAGAGAGAGGAGAGAGAGAGAGAGGAGAGGAGAGAGAGAGGAGGAGAGGAGAGGGAGAGGAGAGGGAGGGGAGAGAAAGAGAGCGAGGGGGGGAGGATGAGTGAGAGAGACAGAGAGATATCTCCCAGAACAAAGTGAAGTTTCTCATTTACATCTGATAGCAACAGAACATTTTATTTCTGAGTTTGTCATATTGTATTCTATTCTCAGGCATGTCACAATGAGATTGTAATCTCTCTACTCGTTAGCCCTACTACAGATAACACCCTCTCTATTCTGGACCTCTTCCTATAATTTGAGTTAATATCTAGCTGTAATATCTACGTTGTAATATTCAATTTCACTTCACCTTGGCCTGTGTGTGTGTGTGTGTGTGTGTGTGTGGTGTGTGTGTGTGTGTGTTGATTGTGGGTGTGTACAGTGAAAGGTTGTTTATCAGAGTTGGTTGGTATCGGAATCTTTTTGGCAGACTCTTTCAGTAACCCCAGAAAACTCAACAAGCCCTTCCAGCTGTGTGTGGTGTGTTGTGGTGTGTGTGTGTGTGTATGTTTGTGAGGTGGTGACCAGTAAGTATATAGTGTTATCAGAGTTGGTGCGGAAGGTCTCTTCAGTACACTAGAATTTCTAGCGAGCAAACCTTCATTTTGAGTACGATGAGATGTGTGTACATGTGTACAGGCTGTACACAGTAAAGATAGTATCAGATGTGCGGAAGGCTGCTAGCCGCAGAGTCTGTTGCCTATGAAATCCACACCCGTCCAGTGTGTGGCGTGTGTGGTTGTGTACGTGATTGACGTGCACTATCAAGCGCACCACGCAACACAGACGTTATACCCTGTACCTGTTGCATGCGTAGATCATTTTGAGAGGACACCTTTCATCTTAGTACAGAACAGACACAGAACACACAGATATTCGAAGAGGCAGCAGGTACAGGGCCAGGCAACCACGACAGACAAAGCGACTAGATAGAATACAGACACACCACCACGACACACGAGACACACACTAACCCGACTAACCCGGCAAGCTAGGAAGTAGAGACAGACCATACGCTGAACAGACACAGAACACACAAGCAGACAGACAGACCAACAGAAAGAGACAGCAGGGGCGAGAAGGAGGACAGAGAGAGCAGTAGGATCGGAAGGCAAGAGCGAGGGGGACCAAAGCAAAGGAGGGAAGGGAGAGGGAGACGGGACAAGCAGACAAATTAGACTACTTATGTCATTAATTATTTAGGAGTGCATGACGTATGGTCTGTATACTATGAGTTTTCGTTCATGACAGACCGCAGCAACCGCACACAAAATATATAGAATTAACAGACAGAGAAACAACGTGGCTGGATCGAGGGTAGACATATGCAGCTAAGGGAGTGTTGGTGTGAGAGGGAGGGGTGGCACCTAAAGAGAAGTGGGGAGAGAGAGGGGAGACGGGACAGACAGGACAATTAGACTTCTTATTTCATTAAATTATTTATTGTTGGTTTGCTTGCTGTTTTGTCTTGTATCTATGTTTTTTTTCTGTTTTTCATGCACCCCAGCAGCCCCCCAAAATATATATATATATTATTTTAAATAACAGTATTGAAAATCATACCGTCTGCATTTCGGTATTTCATATACGGTATAAACAGTATATCGCCCAAGCCTAATATATATATCTACATATTTATCTGTATATCTCTCTTATACATACAGGTATGGATACAGGTATGGATATATACTCATTCTCTCTGTGTCTCTGTCCTACAGAACTCAGCGTACTCTCTTTTCCAATTGTTACACTGACTACTCTCTCTCACTTTCCCTCCTCCCCCTCCTCTTCCCTCCCCCTCCCCTTAATCACTCTCTCCTCCCCTCTCTCCCCCCCTCCGTCCCCCCTCTTTCTCCCTCCTCTCTCTCTCTTCTCCAGGAGGGCTACCACTCCTGGCGGCCCAAGGAAAAAGTCTTCCTGGATAGTAACAACAATGAGAACTCGGTCCCCAAAGACTTTGACACCGTTGTCGACAGCAACAGCAACCTTGGGGCGCGTTCACAGTCTCAGCGCCTGCGAACGGCAGGAAACACAGCCAAGCACAAACCGGACAAGGCCCTAACGCAAGGCATTCTGGGAAAGGCCTTGCCCAACGAGGTCAACGAGGTCAATCAGCAGTACCCTCTTCCTCCACAGCAGCTCAAACCACACAGACCACACCCCACTAAACCTTCCCTCTCTCCCTCCATCAAAACATCCAATCAGCATCAGCGACATCACCAACCCAGGAAGTCGGTGACTTCAGCTCCTGTGTTGGGGCAGCGGAGGGAGCAGCACCAGTGTGAGATCAGTGGGAAAGAGGCCATCTCGGCTCTGTCCAGAGCCAAGACCAGGGAGTGTCGTCAGCAGATAGCTGAGGTGTACTGCAGACACAAGGAGAGGACACTGATGCCGGAGACCGTCCCTCGATACTGCACCCTAGAAGGTGAGTCTCATAGAGAATGCGTCCCAAATGGTACCCTATTCCCTATATAGAGACCTACGTCACCAGCCTCAGTGAGAAGGGGCTGCCTCAGTGAGAAGGGGCTGCCTCAGTAAGAAGGGGCTGCCTCAGTAAGAAGGGGCTGCCTCAGGGAGAAGGGGCTGCCTCAGTAAGAAGGGGCTGCCTCAGTAAGAAGGGGCTGCCTCAGTAAGAAGGAGCTGCCTCAGGGAGAAGGGTCTGCCTCAGTAAGAAGGGGCTGCCTCAGTAAGAAGGAGCTGCCTCAGTAAGAAGGGGCTGCCTCAGTAAGAAGGGGCTGCCTCAGTGAGAAGGAGCTGCCTCAGTGAGAAGGTGTTGCCTCAGTGAGAAGGAGCTGCCTCAGTGAGAAGGGGCTGCCTCAGTGAGAAGGTGTTGCCTCAGTAAGAAGGGGCTGCCTCAGTGAGAAGGTGTTGCCTCAGTAAGAAGGAGCTGCCTCAGTAAGAAGGGGCTGCCTCAGTAAGAAGGGGCTGCCTCAGTGAGAAGGAGCTGCCTCAGTGAGAAGGTGTTGCCTCAGTGAGAAGGAGCTGCCTCAGTGAGAAGGGGCTGCCTCAGTGAGAAGGGGCTGCCTCAGTAAGAAGGGGCTGCCTCAGTAAGAAGGGGCTGCCTCAGTAAGAAGGGGCTGCCTCAGTAAGAAGGGGCTGCCTCAGTGAGAAGGAGCTGCCTCAGTGAGAAGGTGTTGCCTCAGTGAGAAGGAGCTGCCTCAGTGAGAAGGGGCTGCCTCAGTGAGAAGGTGTTGCCTCAGTAAGAAGGGGCTGCCTCAGTGAGAAGGTGTTGCCTCAGTAAGAAGGAGCTGCCTCAGTAAGAAGGGGCTGCCTCAGTGAGAAGGAGCTGCCTCAGTGAGAAGGTGTTGCCTCAGTGAGAAGGAGCTGCCTCAGTGAGAAGGGGCTGCCTCAGTGAGAAGGGGCTGCCTCAGTAAGAAGGGGCTGCCTCAGTAAGAAGGGGCTGCCTCAGTAAGAAGGGGCTGCCTCAGTAAGAAGGGGCTGCCTCAGTAAGAAGGGGCTGCCTCAGTAAGAAGGGGGCTGCCTCAGTAAGAAGGGGCTGCCTCAGTAAGAAGGGGGCTGCCTCAGGGAGAAGGAGCTGCCTCAGTGAGAAGGGGTTGCCTCAGTGAGAAGGGGCTGCCTCCGTGAGAAGGGTCTACCAGTAATAGACAGTATACAAACAGAACACAGACATCATACAGAATATACAATAGCAGAGCAGTGAACATAAAACATACATCTCTGGAGTAGAGGCTGATTGCAGTGGGAATATACAATTTACAGAGGGGAGATACACTGATTGTTCATAACATTAGGAACACCTGCTCTTTCCATGACATAGACTGAACAGGTGAATCCAGGTGAAAGCTATGATCCCTTATTGAAATCCACTTCAATCAGTGTAGATTAAGGGGAGGAGACAAGTTAAAGAAGGATTTTTAAGCCTTGAGACAATTGAGACATGGATTGTGTATGTGTGCCATTCAGAGGGTGAATGGGCAAGACAAAATATTTAAGTGCCTTTGAATGGGGTATGGTAGTAGGTGCCAGGCACACCGGTTTGTGTCAAGAACTGCAACGCTGCTGGGTTTTTAATGCTCAACAGTTTCCCGTGTGTTTAAAGAATGGTCCACCACCCAAAGGGCATCCAGCCAACTTGACACTACTGTGGGAAGCATTGGAGTCGACATGGACCAGCATCCCTGTGGAACTCTTTCAACACCTTGTAGAGTCCATGCCCTGACGGATTGAGGCTGTTCTGAGGGCAAAAGGGGGTGTAACTCAATATTATGAAGGTGTTCCTAATGTTTTGTACACTCAGTGTATCTATATTGAAAACAAAAAAAACTGTTTTAAGTGAGAAGTAGGCATTGGTCTGAAGCCGAAAAAGAAAGGAAATTCAGAATGCGTACTTGACCCATGCACTACCAAGGTTTTCCAGCACACAGCTTTGACCTACCACAGTAGCTATGTTGGGCTATTGTACTTCCAACAATATGTAGGCAGGTTTCTTACGATTCAAACCTTCTCAAACAGCCTAATTCATATTCTTAGAGGAGGTGCTCCCAAAATAAAGTGATTTGTACCACATACAAGGGAGTGTATTGCATTCTTCCCACCCCACTCTAAGACATTACTCCATTCCACTACCTTTTGTCTCCTCCCCTTGTCCACTCTCCTTGTCTCCTCTCCTTGTCTTCTCTCCTTGTCTTCTCTCCATGTCCACTCTCCTTGTCTCCACCCCTTGTCTCCTCTCCTTGTCTCATCTCCTTGTCACCTCTCCTTGTCTCATCACCTTGTCACCTCTCCTTGTCTCCTCTCCTTGTATAATATCCTTGTCTCCTATCCTTGTCTCCTCTCCTTGTCTCCTCTCCTTGTCTCATATCATTTTATTTTCTCCTTGTCTCCTCTCCTTGTCTCCTCTCCTTGTCTCATATCCTTTTATTTTCTCCTTGTCTCCTCTCCTTGTCTCCTCTCCTTGTCTCCTCTCCTTGTATCCTCTCCTTGTATCCTCTCCATGTCTCCTCTCCTTGTCTCCTCTCCTTGTCACCTCGCCATCCCCAGAGGGAAGAGAGGAAGGATTGATGAGAGGGAGAAAGGCAGGTCATAAGGAAGGGAGAGAAAGTGAGTTAGAGAGAGAGACTGATGACAGAGGCAGAAAGAGTTCTTGTCACCACGGAGACAAAAGTCAGGGCTTTCCCGAGGGTTCCGGCTAGAACTCCCCCGTCGAGGCTGCCTTGCCAGTGCCTGATCTATTTAGGGAACATTCCACCCCATTCACTGCTCTACGCTTGTGTCCCAAACAGCACCCTATTCACTATATACAACACTACTTTTGATTTTTTTTTTACGATATAGGGATTAGGGTGCTCTGGTCAAACGTAGTGCACTATATAGGGAATAGGGTGCTGTTTGGACTGCAGCGTATACTACTCTACTTACCATAGGGCAGTGCCCACGCCAAGCCAGTGTAATTACACACTAGTTAGTACAGGAGTTAGATAGAGAAGTGCTGAGTAAAGCCTGTGTGTGTGTGTGTGTGTGTGTGTGTGTGTGTGTGTGTGTGTGTGTGTGTGTGTGTGTGTGTGTGTGTGTGTGTGTGTGTGTGTGTGTGTGTGTGTGTGTGGTGGGGGGGGAGGGCAGAGCTTGACTAAAGATAGACTCTGCCATCCAACCGCCCAGAAAGTTTAAGGTTTAGATTCTACATTTAATTTATATGATTATACGTTTCTTTGATGATGCAGTAAGGGAGGGGATATCTATAGCTTTAGAATGACTGAATGGTGGTGGCTGGCTGGCTGGCTGGTGCTGCCTGTGCTGGCTGGTGCTGCCTGGCTGGTGCTGGCTGGCTGGCTGCCTGGCTGGCTGCCTGGCTGGTGCTGGCTGGCTGGTGCTGGCTGCCTGGCTGGCTGGTGCTGGTGCTGCCTGGCTGGTGCTGCCTTGGCTGGTGCTGGCTGGGCTGTGTGCTGGCTGGTGCTGGCTGGCTGTGCTGCTGGCTGGTGCTGCCTGGCTGGCTGCTGCGGGTGGCTGGCTGTGGCCTGGCTGGTGTCTGGCTGGCTGCTGCTGGCTGCTGGCTGGTGCTGGCTGGCTGGTGCTGCTGGCTGGTGCTGGCTGGCTGGTGCTGCTGGGCTGGCTGGTGCTGCCTGGCTGGCTGGCTGCTGGCTGGTGCTGGCTGGCTGGTGCTGCTGCTGGCTGGCTTGCCTGGCTGGTGCTGCCTGGCTGGTGCTGCGGCTGGCTGGTGCTGCTGGCTGTGCTGGTGGCTGGTGTGCTGGCTGGTGCTGCCTGGCTGGCTGCCTGGCTGGTGCTGGCTGGCTGGTGCTGCCTGGCTGGTGCTGGCTGGCTGGTGCTGCCTGGCTGGTGCTGCCTGGCTGGTGCTGGCTTGCTGGTGCTGCCTGGCTGGTGCTGCCTGGCTGGCTGCCTGGCTGGTGCTGCCTGGCTGGTGCTGGCTGGCTGGTGCTGGCTGGCTGGTGCTGGCTGGCTGGTGCTGGCTGGCTGGTGCTGGCTGCCTGGCTGGCTGCCTGGCTGGTGCTGCCTGGCTGGTGCTGGCTGGCTGGTGCTGGCTGGCTGGTGCTGGCTGGCTGGTGCTGGCTGGCTGGCTGGCTGGCTGGCTGGCTGCCTGGCTGGTGCTGGCTGGTAGGTGCTGGCTGGTGCTGGCTGGCTGGTGCTGGCTGGCTGGCTGGCTGGCTGGCTGGCTGGTTGGTGCTGGCTGGCTGGCTGGTTGGCTGGGTTGTCCTAGGGCTAAAGTTAAGTGTCCAGTGTAGCAGGAAGGTAAAAACCTAAATTAATATTGTATTTGTGATATGCGCCGAATACAACAGGTGTAGACTTTACTGGGAAACGCTTACTTACGAGCCCTTTCCGAACAATGTTAAAAAGTAAGAAAATTAGCTAATAAAAATAGAAAATAGTAACACAATAAATAACAATAACGAGGCTATAAACAAGGATTGTAATGTGCAGAGGTAATACTGTATGTAAATGTAGGTAGGGGTAAAAGTGACTAGGCAATCAGGATAGATAACAAACAGAGTAGCAGCAAGTGTGTGAAAGTGTGTGTATGTGTGTGTGAGTGTACAGTGGGGAAAAAAAGTATTTAGTCAGCCACCAATTGTGCAAGTTCTCCCACTTAAAAAGATGAGAGAGGCCTGTAATTTTCATCATAGGTACACGTCAACTATGACAGACAAAATGAGAAAAAAAAATCCCAAAAATCACATTGTAGGATTTTTTATGAATTTATTTGCTGCAATGATGGTGGAAAATAAGTATTTGGTCAATAACAAAAGTTTCTCAATACTTTGTTATATACCCTTTGTTGGCAATGACACAGGTCAAACATTTTCTGTAAGTCTTCACAAGGTTTTCACACACTGTTGCTGGTATTTTGGCCCATTCCTCCATGCAGATCTCCTCTAGAGCAGTGATGTTTTGGGGCTGTCGCTGGGCAACACGGACTTTCAACTCCCTCCAAAGATTTTGTATGGGGTTGAGATCTGGAGACTAGCTAGGCCACTCCAGGACCTTGAAATGGTTCTTACGAAGGCACTCCTTCGTTGCCTGGGCGGTGTGTTTGGGATCATTGTCATGCTGAAAGACCCAGCCACATTTCATCTTCAATGCCCTTGCTGATGGAAGGAGGTTTTCACTCAAAATCTCACGATACATGGCCCCATTCATTCTTTCCTTTACACGGATCAGTCGTCCTGGTCTCTTTGCAGAAAAACAGCCCCAAAGCATGATGTTTCTACCCCCATGCTTCACAGTAGAAAAGAAAAAAGTGTTCTTTGGATGCAACTCAGCATTCTTTGTCCTCCAAACACGACGAGTTGAGTTTTTACCAAAAAGTTATATTTTGGTTTCATCTGACCATATGACATTCTCCCAATCCTCTTCTGGATCATCCAAATTCACTCTAGCAAACTTCAGACGGGCCTGGACATGTACTGGCTTAAGCAGGGGGACACGTCTTGCGCTGCAGGATTTGAGTCCCTGGCGGCGTAGTGTGTTACTGATGGTAGGCTTTGTTACTTTGGTCCCAGCTCTCTGCAGGTCATTCACTAGGTCCCCCCGTGTGGTTCTGGGATTTTTGCTCACCGTTCTTGTGATCATTTTGACCCCACGGGGTGAGATCTTGCGTGGAGCCCCAGATCGAGGGAGATTATCAGTGGTCTTGTATGTCTTCCATTTCCTAATAATTGCTCCCTGTCACGCCCTGGCTCTGGGGACTCTTAAATGTTGAGCCAAGGTGTGTAGTGTCTATGTTGTATTTTCTATGTTGTGCTTTCTAGATCGTGTAGATCTATGTTGGCCAGGGTGGTTCCCAATCAGAGGCAGCTGTTTGTCGTTGTCTCTGATTGGGGACCATACTTAGGCAGCATGTTTGCACTAGTCATTGTGGGATCTTGTTCCGTATGGTTTGTTTTGGTGTTAACCTAGGACTTCACGTATCGTTTGGTTTGTTGTTTTTGTTCGTGTGTGTTAAGTACGTTAATTAAATAAAATGTACGCTTACCACGCTGCGCCTTGGTCCGTCACTTCCTTGAACGATCGTGACAGAAGATCCCACCAAAAGAGGACCAAGCAGCGTGTCCAGGAGCAAACGCCGGAGGTTACGTTAGTAGATGTCCTCCTCGGTTGGGGGAGAATCACGGAGGAGGAGGCCGTCCGTTACCGGAGGGCGATGAATGAAAATGCCCAGGCAGGAGAGGAGAAACGGCGCCAACCGTGCCGACGACGTACACCCGAGAGGCAACCCCAAGAAAATGTTTGGGGGGGGCACACGGCATGGACGACGGGGCAGCAGGAGGCAGCGACAGGGCGTATCTGCAGACTAGGAGTGGAGGCCACCAGGTTACGGGGGCTATTGGTCCAGAGGGAGCAGGAGTTAATTGGTCAGAGGGAGGAGCTACAGGAGGTGTTAAGGGAGAAGGAGAGTGTAGAGGCACGGCGAGAGGAGCTGGTTAGGCAGCAGAGGGAGCGGAGGTTTATAAGGAAACCCAGTCCCGCTCCTCGCACCAAGCAAGTGGTGTGTGTCACCAGTCCGGTCCGGCCCGTTCCTGATCCCCGCACTAAGCCAGTGGTGCGTGTTCCCAGTACGGCTCGACCCATTCCTGCTTCCCGCACAAGGCCAGTGGTGTGTGTTCCCAGCCCGGTCCGGCCTGTTCCTGCTCCCCGCACCAAGCCAGTGGTGCGCGTCGTCAGCCCGGTCCGGCCTGTTCCTGCTCCCCGCACCAAGCTAGTGGTGCTCGTCGTCAGCCCGGTCCGGCCTTGTCCTGCTCCCCGCACCAAGCCAGGGGTGCGCGTTGTCGGCCCGGTCCGGCCTGTTCCTGTCCCTCGCACCAAGCGAGTGCTCCCCGCACCAAGCCAGTGGTGTGTGTTCCCAGCCCGGTCCGGCCTGTTCCTGCTCCCCGCACCAAGACAGTGGTGCGCGTCGTCAGCCCGGTCCGGCCTGTTCCTGCTCCCCGCACCAAGATAGTGGTGCGCGTCGTCAGCCCGGTCCGGCCTGTTCCTTCTCCCCGCACCAAGCCAGGGGTGCGCGTCGTCGGCCCGGTCCGGCCTGTTCCTGTCCCTCGCACCAAGCCAGTGGTGCGCGTCGCCAGCCCGGTCCGGTCCGTTCCTGCTCCCCGCACCAAGCCAGTGGTGTGCGTCGCCAGCCCGGTCCGACCTGTTCCTGTCCCTCGCACTAAGCCAGTGGTGCGCGTCGTCAGCCCGGTCCGGCCCGTTCCTGCTCCCCGCACCAAGCCGGTGGTGCGCGTCGCCAGCCCGGTCCGGCCCGTTCCTGCTCCCCGCACCAAGCCAGTGGTGCGCGTCGTCAGCCCGGTCCGGCCCGTTCCTGCTCCCCGCACCAGGCCAGTGGTGCGCGTCGTCAGCCCGGTCCGGCCCGTCCCTCTCCCCGCACCAAGCCAGTGGTGCGTGTGTCCAGTCCGGCACGGCCCGTGCCTGTTCCACCGGTGCCTGGTCCGGCACCGGTCAGCTGCTCCACTCCGGAGCCTGAGCAATCCGCTCCACCGGTGTCCAGTCCAGCCCCTACCCTCTTGTGTTTGTGTGGCACGGTCGCAGTCCGCGCCTTTGGGGGGGGGGGGGGTACTGTCACGCCCTGGCTCTGGGGACTCTTAAATGTTGAGCCAGGGTGTGTAGTATCTATGTTGTATTTTCTATGTTGTTGATCTAGATCGTGTAGATCTATGTTGGCCAGGGTGGTTCCCAATCAGAGGCAGCTGTTTCTCGTTGTCTCTGATTGGGGACCATACTTAGGCAGCATGTTTGGCACTAGTCATTGTGGGATCTTGTTCCGTATGGTTTGTTTTGGTGTTAACCTAGGACTTCACGTATCGTTTGGTTTGTTGTTTTTGTTCGTGTGTGTTAAGTACGTTAATTAAATAAAATGTACGCTTACCACGCTGCGCCTTGGTCCGTCACTTTATTGAACGATCGTAACACTCCCACAGTTGATTTCTTCAAACCAAGCTGCTTACCTATTGCAGATTCAGTCTTCCCAGCCTGGTGCAGGTCTACAATTTTGTTTCTGGTGTCCTTTGACAGCTCTTTGGTCTTGGCCATAGTGGAGTTTGGAGTGTGACTGTTTGAGGTTGTGGACAGGTGTCTTTTATACTGATAACAAGTTCAAACAGGTGCCATTAATACAGGTAACGAGTGGAGGACAGAGGAGCCTCTTAAAGAAGAAGTTACAG